CTGTTTTGTGTCATGCATGTGCTGTGCCAGGTGCCAGGGCTGGGAATGCCAGGGGGAGCGAGGCATGCTTCCTGTCCTTGATGAGCTCATAGTCTAATGAACCCTTTAAGTACTGGGCGTTGTACAGAAGAAGCCCAGGCTGAGACAGGAAGGGCCTGCCAGCCTCAGAGGTCCAGAAGGAGGGAGGGCAGAGTCCATAAGGGCAGAGATAGTGCTTAGGAGCAGGTGACACCCGGGTGAGCGGCCGTGGAGGGTGGAGGCTATTTATCCTCTGCCCATGTCTACACCCACTGGTGAGGGTGGGGGTGGGGGTGGGGAGTGGTTGGAAGAGGCCTTTTAAGGCTGTGCCAGGAGCCATGGGGAGAGGCAGAGTCCCACAGCTCTCCTTGTTCCTGACATGCTACTTGTGTCTTAACAGCTCCTGACTGTAGTCGTGGGCCTTCCTTGAAACCACTCCTCCCTTCTAATAGATGCAGACACAATGAAGACTCTTAAGGAGAGAAGGAGCCCCAAGCCAGCTCCTCCACTCTTGCTGGATGATGCCTTGTCAAAGGGAAAGGTGCCCAGGGAAAACCTGGCTGGGAATGCTCTGGGGGTTAGGACTCAAGTGACAACGCAGGGGCAGGAGGTCTCTTGATGGTATTTATCAAGCCTGAGTACAAAGACCACAGGCCAAAGAGCAGGGAAGAACCTGACTTGGCCATGCTGGCAAGGTCCAAAGAAAAGCTAGACTTTGGCGGGACAGATTTAGGCAGGAAGGACTAGCGAGGGGAGAGCAGGTACGGAGGAAGAGCAGAGCTAAGGAGCCCAGGAGAGCCAGAACGGTCCAGGGTGGGCAAGGGCATCCCAGCATCCCATCCTGTCGCAGGATGGGGAGGTCTGGGCAACCGTCCTAGCGCCATCTCGGTAATTAACCAGCCTCTGTGCACCTGAGGACACGATTACAGACAAAACAACTCCTTTGAAGTAAGAGCACAGAATGTCTGGGGGAAAGAGGGGCAAATAAAAGAGAGAGTGATCTTGCTTTAAAATGCAAACAAGGTTGATGGAAAAATATTACCAAACAAGCTGAACAAAGAAAAAGAAGGTTGGGAAGGTAAGACCCATGCTTAGCAGGCACCCAAGACTCCTGGGGCCTTTAGGAGCGCTGGGGCCGGCCTTGCTGGGCACTGCAGTCGCACTTTCCTTTCAGAGAGCGCCCATGTCCCTCATGGGCTGCGCCTGCCTTCTCATCCCCTACCTTCTCACCCCCAACCTGTTCTCTGCACAAATTCTCGGCCAGTTTCCAAAGAGGCCTATTTATTTATGGAGTCAAAGCCCCCCGGGGAAGCGAGGTGCAAAGGGTTTGAATGGTTCCTCCTGGGAAGCAAAGCTAATCGGGAATGGAGCTGAGCTTGTAACCAGCATCCTAGAGGCCTGTCCCATGATATAACCCCCGAACCACCACTCTTTCTGTTGAGGCCAATTTTATTAGAGAAATCTGTTAGTTGGGGACAGTGGGGGAGGGGAGGTCAATAGGATGCTAACATGATTTAACACTTGATGGGCTCTGCAAAACCAAGAAAGGGGCTTTGAGCTAATTTAGCTTGGCACATTCATCCTTCCACATACATGTTACCAAAATGAATATATGCGACGAGGCTACATGTGAGACTCTGGGCTACAATAGCACAGGCTTCATGGAACAAAAAGGCATGTCTCCTGCCTCCACTGTGTCTCTTGTGGTGCCATTGTCTGATGCTAAGCACTCACATAATAACAAAAAACAATGCCCCTCTGATGGGGAAAAACTTGATTTGGCACCAGCGGTGGTGTTTTCCATGGGAATGGTGGTGGGGGCTGTGGCCGTCTGTGGGAATAGTGCAAATCAGCACTTTTGGTAGATTTTCTTCAAGCCATTGTTTATTTTGGCTTTGGTCAGACCCATGGCCCAGCTTGAAGATTCCCCCTGGGCTTTCTGGGGCTCACAGACCTATGAGAGAAGAAATAAGGATAAATTACAACACACCTTACTACCACCCCTGAACTCATTTGTGGAGTTTGCCTGTCTCGCGTGTGTGTGTGTGCATGTGCATGTGTGTGTGTGTGCATACATGTAGGTTACAGGACTGCATATGTGCACATTGGCCCAGGCCTCCACCTGGGAATTAGACCAAGGTTTCTGAGGTCTGGGCTTCCCTGGTTCATTGTCTCACTATCATCTATTTAGGGCTGCGGAAGATCAGGGCTATTTCACACAAATGCCAGTTTTTGCAAAGTGGTATTGGATAAAACTTGTTTGAAACTAACTTCCTAAAACCCTCACACATTTATAGATTTTAAACATGAATACCTTGAGTTATGGTTCTGATAGCAACAAGGAAGTCGGTGATTGTTGTGATAATGGAAGGTGAACTTTTATCTCGAAGCTCTTCAGAATACATTGGCTTTACAATGTCGATTGACTGATTGTTCCTGTCCATAAGTTCTGTGACTTTAAGCAAATAACTTACTAGAAAACCCCATTTTTCCATTGGCTAATTAATATAAACGAGTTAAGTTTCTACAGCATCTCACTAACATAACAAAATGACGTTATTTGAGGACCTGCTGTATTAATAAAATTGCAAAAGACTTTTTTGAAGGCTCTGTGAGGGTGTGTGCACTCCAAAGTTTCTATTAGTGCGTGTTTTACAAAGAAATGCACTTTCTCTCCTTTTTCCAAAAAGTTTCCATTCCCAGTAAGAGTCTTCCTGACACCTGTGTATGAAGCTGCCTCTGAGTGGGGTGGCTGGGTGGCACAACTCTAGGGGGCAGTGTTCCTGGGTCTTCTCTGAAAATGGTTCCCTGGGAGGAAAACTCCAGGTGGCCTTGCTAGGTGACAATATTTAGATGGGCTTGTTGCAGAGATGTTTTCCAAAGAAATGAAGAAGTCTTGTCTCCTGCAACTTATGTTCTCTTGGATGCAGTAGGGGACCCAGCCTCTTGTCTGGGCCTGGGTTGAAAGAAAAATATCTTACTATGGGCCAGGTAGTGTGTGCAATGTAGATATAATTTAATCATGACATAACTTTTTTTTCTAATTTTTTTCCTTTTAAATATATTTGTATTGATTTCAGAGAGGAAGGGAGAGGGAGAGAGAGAGAAACATCAATGATGACAGAGAATCATTGATCAGTTGCCTCCTGCATGCTCTACACTGGGGATGGAGTGGCAACCTGGGCATGTGCCCTGACTGGGAATCAAACCGTGACCTTCTGGTTCATAGGTCGACGTTCAAGTACTGAACCACACAGGCCTGGCAAGAACAAGACTCTTATTAGAGTTTCACAGGTGGGAAAACTTAGACCAGAGGTTAGGGGACTTGCCCAAGCTCACACAGTCTGTCTGCATCAGAGGTGGGACTTGAACCCTTCTCTGTGGCACTCCCCAGAGGCCTTCGAAGCACCCAGGGGTCCCGCAGACACTGACTGGGTGACAGCAGCAGCAGTGAAAATAATGCCAACTGGGGTAGGGGTCTTCAGAGCCAAAAGGTGGGATTCAGCTGGAGTGGGGTGGCCCTGGGCTGCCACGTCTGCCTCTCTGTCAAATACAAGGGCCAGGTGTGATGGCACCGTGGTGTGAGCTTTGCACAGCTGGACCAGGGCCGGGAAGAGGAGCACGGAGACTGCTTACATCTCCTCCCCTTCCTGGACGAAACTTTGCATTTAAAGGAAGAAAGAGAGTAAATCTGTAACCTGGGATTTGTTGGCCTGGAGATTTCATTTGGCCCTTTGAAGGCACAAGGCCTTTCGTGTGTGTGTGTGTGTGTGTGTGTGTGTGTGTGTGTGTGTGTATGGGGAGACTTCAGATTACACGTGATGGGTTTTTTTTATTGGGTTTTTATTTTTATTTTATTTTTTTTAAGTCATAGCTGCTACCATTTTCGGAGACCTATTATGTGCCAAGCCTTGTGCTAGCTAGACGCTTTTCGGGGTAATATTTTGATGTGGAGGAAAAAATAACTTAGTCGTTTGTTTTTATGCAGGTGCCATCAGAGGCATCGGGTATTTTTTCCATTCGGGTTAAAATACGGCGCTTCTGCACCGAGGTGAGATCTGAGGAGGGGCGGGGAGGGGTGCGGGGACGGCCAGGGGGCGGTCCGGGCCTCCCTAGTCTCCACCTTTTATTTTGACCGGCCGGCTGGCGGCAGGCTCGCACTAGGACCCAGGCGCCTCCGTCTGTCCTGTAGGTTCATTCAATCTCCCATACACACAGACCCACTGCGAGACCGACACACACTCACACTCGGGCACACAACCGCACGCAGTGAGGCTCGGGAAGTCAGATCGCCTCCTCG